CTTCGCGGGCTGGCGGGGAGCCCCGCTCGCTGACCAAACTCTCCTATTCCCTTGTGGTCGCTGGCAACGGCGTTGCGGGACAGCCAACTGGCACAAGAGGTGGATGAATTCTGAGTACAAGCCAGACCTGGGGAAGTTTAAACTCACAGCTGGGAAGTTTTATGGAGATCCAGTGCGTGATAAAGGTCTGTGGAGTTAGTTTAAAATGTGCTATGGGAGCCATGGGAAGAGTTAGAGATTTGCCCTGCACGGCAATAATTTTTTTTTTTCTTTGCAAATGAAGAAAATGCAAGTTTTCCTTTTATACTAATATCTTTACAGGTCTACAAACTAGTGAAAACTCTAAATTTTATGCTATCTCCTCACGATTTAAACCATTTAGTAACAAAGGGAAGACTCTGGTCATTCAGTATACTGTGAAACATGAGCAGAAGATAGATTGTGGTGGGGGATATGTTAAGATTTTTTCTTCAAACTTGGATCAGAAGAACCTCAGTGGCGATTCAAATTATTACATCATGTTCGGTGAGTTCAGTTACTTCTGCGTTACTACAACACTGTCATTGTTTTATAGTTACATTCTGAGCTGATTTGAAGGACAACTGAAAATGGTTAGTGAGCGAGCTTAGAAAGGAAAAAGCAGTTGCTCAGCAAGCGTTTTTTTTTTTTTTAAGACCTGTGACTGAAAGACTGTACTGTAGGCCATTATCTGCCCTTACATACTCATATGCAGTTTCCAGTGACTTGAGAAATGTATACATTTGTATCTCAAAATAAAATCTCTCATAAAGTTTACTATTGCATAATGAATGTAATGTAATTACATAGTTATTCAGCTTATTTCACGGATGACTTTTACTGGATTTCTGTTGTTTTTGTGGGTTAGGCCTGTAACAGAATGAAACCCCAAGCTAGCCAGAATGCAATTCTAAAGTAGATTTAGAGACTTTGAATAGAAGCAGTGTCACTAGGCCTTTATCAGAAATGAAAGGGAACTCATTAAAAATAGGTAGAAGGGGAAGTTGTCTAGCAATATTAGAAGGAAAAAGTAAGAATCTATTTTTATACAAAGAAATTAAGGATACAAAGCATATAATCTCTTTGTAGGGCCAGATATTTGTGGATCCGAGACAAAGAAAGTCCACGTTATTTTAAATTACAAGAACAAACCCCATCCAATCAAGAAACCAATCAGATGCAAGGTAAATGTAAACTTCAAAGATGCATACATTTCAAAAAAGCCCCAAGCTACGGGGATATCGACATTAAAATCTATTCTGAATATACATCACCTTTTGAGAAGTTTCATTTTTCATCATATCTTAATAGTAATTATAATTTTGGGTCTTCAAATAACTTCTAATACAGATTAATATTACAATGTAATGATTTTACTGCTTAGGATGAATCCATTATAGATTAGTATTATAATTCTGATGCAAGGCTGTTCATAAGAGCTATGTTTTTCAAGGTACTTAGAACATTTTATTTCCTTTCTTTAAAACCCAGGTTGATGGATATACACATTTGTATACTTTGATTATAAGGCCAGATCAGACTTATAAAGTCAAAATTGATAATGAAATGGTTGCATCAGGCAATTTAGAAGATGATTTAGATTTTTTGCCACCAAGGAAAATAAATGATCCAAGAGTGAAGAAACCCAGTGACTGGGATGATCGAGTCCAAATTGATGATCCGAATGATGTCAAACCTGAGGTAACTGGCTCTCTTGAATATGTTCTTATTCTGTATTTCTGGGTTATTTCATTCTTACTAAATACATATTCGATGCCACAGCTCAAGGATAGTTTAACTGCGGTGCTTTTTTACTTTCTTAATCCTCCCATATCTTTTTATAGGATTGGGATGAACCTGAATACATTACGGACACTAGTGCTCGGAAACCTGAAGACTGGGATGATTCTGTGAATGGAGAATGGCATCGTCCTATGGTCAAGAATCCTCTATACAGAGTATAAATCATTTAATAATTCTAGTTATGGGGAGCTCTAAAGCAACTGTTTTTTGCCTGACTGTAGTCAGAACATGTGGTTTATTGTAGGGTGAATGGAAACCAAGGCAGATTGATAACCCAAATTACAGAGGAGTTTGGCCCCATCCACAGATTGACAATCCAAATTACTCACCAGACTTCAGTATCTACAGCTATGAAAACATTAGCATCATTGGACTAGATATCTGGCAGGTCAGTTGCCTTTCTGCACACAGTAGAAAATAAAGAACTTGTCATTGAGTATACAAGAGCCCGTTTACCCTTTGCATATAGATATTATCTGTTGTTCTGGGATCTTAGCTGATGACCTATATTTTTAACTTGCTGTTATTTAAATATATGTACAAAATTACTAAATCTGTAAGACAGACTGATTTTTCTATTGTAGTTAGTAATCGCCTACAGATAATTGAGGGGCCTAAACCATTCTGTTTAATTTACAAATGTTGTAAAGTATGACTCATCCCACTTGACTTGAGGTGCTTAACTGAGGCTTCAAGGAGTTGGTTCTCCCCCAAAAATGAATGAGGAGAAAACTGTCCTCTGGAGGTGCCTCTGGGATCTTTTCCTCCCCTACCCCAGGCTTCCTTACTACTCAATGATCAGACTTCTAACTTCTTAGAAGAGTGGTAAAGTGCCTTAAGTTAAGGCAAGTTTTTTAGATTTTTGCAAATAGTTCTCTTTTAAAAAAAGAATTTTTCTGCAAATGTGTAACTAAAGAGTTCTTCACGTGATTAATATATTTTAGTATGATACAAATACATGATTAAAAGATGAGATTAAAACTTAGGAAAACGGAAGCGCATTGGGTTTTGGTTTTTTTCTTTTTCTTCCCTCTTCCCGCAAAGGTGAGAGCTGGCACAATTTTTGACAACTTTTTGATAACTGATGATGAAGAATATGCAGAAGACTTTGGAGATGAAACCTGGGGAGAAACAAAGGTAATATGTGAAATTCTTGTGTCTGTTTTGGTTCTTTATTGCCAGATTTTTAAAATTCTCCATCTAATCTTAGCAAGATGATATTGGTACAGAGCCAGTATAAGTCTATGATCTTAATGTTAGGGTCCTGAAAAGGAAATGAACGTAAAGCAGACTGAGGAAGAGCAGCAGAGAGAAAGGGCCACAGAAGAAAAATACTTTGAGGAAAGGTTTAAGGAGAAAGTAGAGAGAAAAAAAGGATTCCGAAGGGAGAGATCAGCGAGGAATGCTATCAAGAAAGAAGACCTTTAATTGTTATTTGAAAGAAGTTCACAGACAGTTTTTCACTTGAAACTCTATTTTATAAAGATTTTGATGTTTTGTTAACAGCTCATTGAAATCTGCTCTGATAAAGTTGTATTAAAACAGGATTAAAAAATCCAACACTTTAAATTTTTGTGAGCTATTTCATTTATGTTTAGTAAAAATACCATAAGGTAGTGATTGTTAAATTCTCTACTTTTATTAAATATATCTTAACATTGCTGAAATATATTAAAAGCACCTGTATAAAGCATTAGTTTTTGGAACTATTTTACACTTTCATAGTTTGATGTTAAATGTAAAATTTGAGCTTATTTTTTATCAAAATAAGCTTTTAAAATTACTTCATTAAAGGATCCAGCATGTCAAATGCGTGAAGCATGTTTCACAACATACTTCAAACTAAGGAAGAGATAAGCTTTGCTAAGCTTCTATAGCAATTGTGCACTTGTCACAATTTCAAGGATTACTGCAGTTCTATAGCCTCTGCAAACACCCAGTGCCTGCCCTTGGCTTTTCTGCCATTACTTAATCTGCTGATAGAACTTTCTTGCTCTCTGTTATGTCTTGAGTGATAGCAGCCTATCCATCTACAAGTCTGCTCTTAGAAGTTTAAATGCATTCAGACAGTTTTTCCCTTCAGAAATCTGTAATGAATACGTATGGTGCCTGGAAGCTGTCTTAAAACAAGTTAATTGTTTTTCAATAGGAAAAAAAGCTTTCGGGGGGAAATTTTAAAATAGTGAATGATGCGCATATTTTTGTCTGACCTAGTCACTCAGTCTTGTCCAGGTGCTTTCCTCCATCTCCTCTGTGGTTGTTTTCCTCTTCTGCGTTTCCAAGCTTTTTTCCTCTTCTAAAAAGAACTAATGCTATAAGTTGAGCAAAAACGGAAGCCAGAGTTTCAGAGCCGTTGGTCCGGCATTTACCTTTCAGCTGCTCTGATGCTGGCCGAGAGGGGTTTTGTGTAGTAAGGAGCTGGGGAACCGGAGGACCCGCAGAAGCTCTGACTTCAACCTGGCCCCTTTATGGACTGTGGGGCGACTGAGGTGAAGCTCTTCCACTTCTGCTTGTCTCAAAAACAGCTTCTTACCGCTGTAGTTTCCATATGGCCAAGCCGACCTCGCCTCCTTCAGGCCTCTGCTCAGCGTTTCCACGTTCCAGGCGGGGAGGTGTTAATTTTGGCTTTACATGGGCTATTGAATACTCGGCCATAGACCGGAGGAAGCTTAATGTAGTGAAGTCAGTTTTGACGAGGGCCCTCGACTCCCTCACCTGAAAAATCCCGCAGCGGCGCCCGCTCTCCTGGCTGGACCGAGGCGCCTTGTCGGCCGCGCACGGCTGCAGAAGAGCCGTGTCCGAGAGGAAGGCGGTAGCCGGCGGC